AATCACTGTACATATTCAGGTTGGGAAGTTACAGGCTATCAGTGCTATTCTTAGGGATTTGATTTCCACGGAGATGCTGGGTTCTAACAGGGCAGGGGAAGCACATGACATAGGATTGGGGGCTCTTACCAATTTTCCCAGCTGCCTGGGTTCCAATGCAGGTGTAGCAATCAGCCCTGCCGTCCCTTAGAAAGTGGTTTGTGGGAGGACAGAAGTCCACCCCAAGGCAAGGGAACCTGTGTGGGGCCAGGGGCCAGGGGTGGTATCACTTCAGCCAGATTTTTCTCTGTGGGAGGCTGTGGCGGACGTCAGGGTTGGGAGCAGGATCCCGCCATGAACTGCCTTCTGGGAAGGACCTGAGAGGAACTCTGAGCTACTGATAGATCCACACCTGAGCCAGCTGCTCCCCGGGATCTACAGCCACTGCCAGAGGCAGGTCACCTTCCCCAAGGATGGACACTCTTGTGTAGATTTTTATCAAAATTTGGCCATGTCCCGTCATCGACATACTTCATTTCTGGCAGAAATGTCTTCAGCAATGAGGGAACAGTTGGCACTCAAAGGTTCCATTTTTGTTGCATCCAAAGACCAAGACTAAAACCTTGTAGTAGCAAAACAGCTATGACATTTCAAACTCTACCCAGAAAGAACACAATGACAGCAAGACATGGGGCTGAAGACGTGGGGTAAGGAGGAAAGGGAAATGAAAGAAGAGCCACAACAAGGAAAATATTATGCTCCTGGAAATGAAACTTCATGATGCTGGGACTCCCCCTTGCAGCCCCAGGGACTGACTCAGCACGCACTGATCAAATACTGAAGAACAGTCATCCAGGACTAGACCAAGGTTAGGTTTCCCCACACCCAGCCTCACCTCCTTGACCCCTTGGGTGTTTTCATTTCTCTTTTCCCAGAGCTCTTGGGGGTCCCCAGTCACTCCACTGAGCTGGCCTGGATTTCCTTTTTCCAGCAAAGGTAAGGGCCCAAGTTTATTTGCTCTGTTAGGGGTCAAATCTAACCGTTAATGAAAGCAGGTAAGTGACCATAGGAGGAGGGGCAGTTCATACAGATTTCCTGGAACATGTTTTGGAAGTTTGTGAGCATTTTCCAAACATCAGATTTTTCCAGGATATTCCTTCAGCAACAGTTACTGTTTATTATTATTACTGTGGTGTATTTGTTGTTTCACTTTATTGTTTTTCAGTGTTCCATCGCAAGGTGAGTGACTTTTAAATCTTTCGCATTTAAGACAAATTGCTAAATGTTTAAGAGTTAGTTTATAAGTTTTATCTAAAAGCGGACCCAGAGAAATACTTTTGCTCTTGCAAGAGTTTCCCAAGGGTGCTGAAAGAGGTGATGCATTAGTATCTGCCCCACTAACTTGATTTCTGTCAAGGAAGTAAATGAAATTTCTGTTCCTCTGGGAAGAGTTCAGATGGTGAAGATTAGTGATAAGTTCAGATGCTCAGCCTGAATTTGCCCAGAAAAATTTTTGTCCTTAATCAATTGGAAAAAGAAAAAAGTACAGACTTCCTGGGGTGGACTTTTACCAAGTCGACAAGCAACCAATGATCAGATAAAGAGGGTGCTGTCCTCCGACTCTAACATCCCGGAGTCTCCAGCTGCACGGTCACTAATCTGAGCTCTGTACAACTGGACGCGTTATATACAAAGGGCACTTAACTTATTACCAAGCAAAAATAAAAATAACATCTTGATGTGTTTCGTCGGTTTAGCAAGCGGTCTGAACAATCACGAAGATGGAAACGAGAGATGTGCGGGACTGATACTGGGCAGCCTAGCAGGTCACCGTGTGCCGCTCGTGCACGAGAAACAATCAGACGCCTTCCCGTCCTGTGATCCGCGCATCACAGCCACCGGGAGCTAAGGGAAGACACGCTGTGGAAGAGGGAAGAGAAGAGGCCGCGATGAGAGAAGTATGCTCCAACCAAGCCCCGTGCGGAGGACACACCCCCAGCTCAGTGCTCAGATCCTGGTTCCACAGCTGGAGGCTCGGGTGTCCCGCGTGCGTTTCTTGATCTGGCTTCCTTATCTTTCCACTTCTCTCGTGGGCAGTAATGACAAAGCGATATCGCAAATGTCTCTTCCTGGGGGGACAGATGGAGTGAGGCTGTCCTTCCTCAGTTTCTCTGTTTCCCAAGGACTAACGAGATCTGGGTGAAGAGAGCAGAGAAGGCACGATTGTCCCCGTCATCTCTAGAAGGACGAGTGAGTCTTCTCATTTCTTTGAGCGCCCCATGCTGTATCTAGGTTTCTCTCTGAGGTCCTTCGGCATCTCCTGCCCCACCCAAAGACAGCAAGCACACCAGTGGAAATCCCCTGAGCAAACTAGCACATGCTGTACCAAAATATTGTGTCTAGGCTTTGTTCTTTTACATCTTCACAACTAAAGGAAAGAGATACAATCGAAATGATAGTCCACTTAAATGATAAACAAGAGAATTTAAAGAGACATCACCCAAATTATTCACCCATGGAGTAACAACCTGTGAGTAGTTCTTGAGATCTATGTTGGTGATAGATACAATTTGTGACTTCTCCTTGAACACTTAATTAGTTTATAGAGACTTACAATTATAGCTTTCTTTATTTTTTTATTGTTGATTTGAGAAAGAGAGAGAAACATCGATCACTTGCCTCCCATGCACAACTTGACCAGGGATTAAACCTGTAACCTGGGTATGTGCCCTGCCCAGGAACCAAACCTTCAACCTTTTTGGTGTCTGGGACGGTGCTCCAACCACCTGAGCCACCTGGCCCGGCTACAGTTTTCCCGAAAGGTTGCACATGTAGCTCAATACACAAAACATACCAAGTTCTGTGAATCAGGCGTCCAGTTTTCTCACCAAGCATTCAAGACAAGATGAGAAACGAGGACACAAATTATTATCTGATGCCCCAAATTGTCACACTTCCTTTACTTTGGAAGATGTTGGAAAATGCAAAACAAAACTAAAAGGTATTAGCAGAGGGAGGGGAAAGATGATGTCTTGTTCGGTTGGCTCTGTGCTCTGGCACCTCCCTTGAGCGGATAGTCCAGAGTGTGACTTTCTAAACAGGGCACCCATCTCTGTCACTGGATCTGCCCGAAGAGAGGTTCCCAGAGACTGGCACAAATGCCCCACCTCTTTTCTCATTTTGAGATTGTCACGTAACTGTAATGATGAGACTAAGTCACACGTCTTTCCAAGACTCTCTGTTTTACACGCTGGGGGATGTCGTTTATCTTTGCTAATTTAGCCGTTTCACAGGCCCAGAGGACTGAGTCTGCCCAGTACAGTGAATCAGACAGAAGCTCCTAACTCACTGTCTGCTCAGCATCTGTGTCCTCAGTACCTTAAAGTCGCAGTCATGTGGCTTTTTTCCAAAAGGGAGTCCCTGTGAATCAAGACAGTAGAGTTTTATAGCCTAAATCCAGGTTAGATTATTCATCTAATGAGCAGAAGTATGTCCTTCAGAAGGCATTTCTGTCTTTTTTTTTTTTTCTTTATTGATATTAGAGAGAAAAGAAAGGAAGGGAGAGGGAGAGATAGAAACATTGATGAGAGAGAACATCAATCGGCCCGCCGCCTCCTGCATGCCTCCCACTGGGGATCAGGCCCACAACCTGGGCATGTGCCCTGACTGGGAATGGAACCCGTGACCTCTTGGTGCATGAGTCGACATTCAACCATTGAGTCACACTAACCGGGCGCGTTTCTGTCTTTTAATGACAGGACCACTCTCAACCTGTGCCTTCCAACACTAATAATAGCTTAAAGACAAAAATCCAAAGATGAGCCCTAGCCGGTTTGGCTCAGCGGTTAGAATGTCGGACTGTGGTCCAGAGAGACAGGGTTCGGTTCCAGCCAAGGGCATGTACCTCGGTTGCAGTTTGTCCCCAGCCCTGGTTGGTCGTGTGGGTGGCGGCCATTCAATGTGTCCCTTTCACATCGGTGTTTCTCTCTCTCTCCCTCTCTCTTCCTCCCACTCTATTTGAACAAAAAATGGAAAAATCTCCTCGGGTGAGGATAAAAAAAAAAAAATCCAACAATGACCAAGAGGTCAGCCAGGCTTAACACATATCACTACTTTAACCATGAGGCCATGCCAGGAGCAATTTCAATTAGTAGACAAGTGTGGAGCGAGTCTGAATCATCTCCTTGTCTCAGTCTTCTGCCCTATGTATGTAGACACCAGTATGGTTTACATGGACCACGTATTCCTGAAAAGTTGTGTGGCAATCAGATTTCCACAAATAGAATCCTGTTTTAAACTCACGAGGGAATTAACTCTTATATCTGATAAGCAAGAGATCAGCAGACTTTTCCTGTGAAGAGCCAAACAGTGAAGATGTTACACTTTGTGCACTGTACAGTTTTTGTCTTAGCACCTCAGCTCTGCTGTGGCAGCACAAAAGTAGCCATGTTCAATAAAACTTTATTTACAACAGCAGGATGTAGGTCAACTTTGGCCTCTCGGCCATCTTCTGTTAACTCCTAAATTATACAAATATCTTTTGAATGCCAACTGTGATGGGTGAGGTATAAGTAACTGCTGGGGCTATATAGAGAACAAAACAGAAGAATTGATCTTCCTGTGAAACTCGCTACGTTCAGAGATTGGAGGTGAACCATTTACTATATTACCTACAATAAATTACTTTATTCAGTGCAGAGCCTTTCTGTCAATCAAAACTCACCCCTGACAGTTAATCGATTAGCTTTGTAAGTTTTGATTTTTGTCCCATGGTTCTTTTAAAATGGGCCCCATTCACACTCTAATCTGAAATAGTTCGAGTTTACACTTGAATCCGTCACATCTCTTTCGGATAAGCACGGTGAGTCCGGGGCTGTCAGGGATATCAGAGAAGCACACTGACGTTGACGGCTCCATCCCTTCATTTCCTCACCTCTGCTGAGAGCAGCAGTACTTTTACTCCGACTTCCTGTTTCTGAAGCATGCCTTTTTTCTGCTGTGTTTATACTTCCCCCTGTCTGTGGTTAAGTAAGTATAAAGCACTAAAGCTGTAGATTGAAGTCTGTCTCGCTGAGCTCGCGCGCTTCCTCTCATTCATTCCTACACCTGGGCTCACACGCCTGCTCGCCTCTCGTTCTCTCTCTCAGAATGACAGTTCTAGGGACTGCTTTTGGTATTGTTTTCTATTTGCTTCAGGTCGTTTCTGGAGAAAGTGGCTATGCACAGAACGGTGAGTCATTTCTAACTTTTCTTAGGATTTCAGATGATCTCAAGGACATGCTTTAGGTAGCTCAGATCTCTAACAGACCTGAGCTGGGCATTGGGTTGGAATGGAGAACTTGCCATTTATTCCTTCATTGTGTGTATTCTAACCACCAGGACAGGGGGCTGGGGGACAGTCCTGAGGGTGGCTTAGTAAGTCTTAGAATTGTCAAGAGAAATGCATCTGATTGACTCTCCGAATGTGGATCTCAGTGTCGGTCAACGCCTCTGCTCTAACGAAAACAACACCCATTAGATGCAACAGCTGAGCCTGCTGGTTGTATTTTGTTAAGACATCGAGCTATATGTGTTTTGCGTAGCTTTTTAGGAAGTTCCAAAAATATAACGTGCGTGATAAAATAACGTCTAGAAACAACAGCTTTGTCTGCATTTACCATCGCCACATCCTCAGCACTGGAGTGTGTAGAATCTGGTGGACATCCAATTGCAATATTTAAATGTACAGCATTTGAAATTTTTTCAAAATACTTGTTTTGATGGATTTATGTGAGAGTCTTAGTAACTAACAACAGAGAAAAATCTGAGTGAGTTGCCTCATTGAAATATATTTAATTGTCTCTGTATCAACAAATTTACTATCATATGATAGTTCTCTCTGGGATCCTTAATGTATTTAGTACCTAGAAGCAGATGCTGCCTACTTAGTAAATACACTGTAATTACAACAAAACCGTAGACAAAGATAAAGCAGCAGCAGCAGCCGCAGGGACACCTGGGAAGCTGGGCCACCAATTTTTTCCTGAAAATTAAACTCCTTCACTTTAAGAGTTAAAAAGTATTTTTCTATCAACTACATCAGCCTAATGACTCAGTTTCGATATTTTAAGTCATGTAACTGCTCAGGATGGAAACTCCTAGAATATTTTCATTACGGGAATTGTCAGAGGGTTGACATTTTTCACAGTGTGACCATGAATGACTCACTTTGTGAGGGACAGCCATGGTTCCATGCCAATGTCGCCTTGTGTTTTGCACACAGATGCTTGGCAAGTAACACATAAATCTTACTATTTGGAAGTATAATATATTCCTTCTGTTTCTCCCTGGTGACTATATCATTTTTAAAAGAAATATGAATTCTAATTGAAAGCTGAGTTTTCACTTCAACTTTTCACATTTCAGACATTTTAAGGAGATCTGTAACCACCCATCCCCACGATCACATCAACACACTTCCCAGTTTCGTGTGTAAATGAATCAGCTGCTGTTTGTTGAAAGATAAGTTAGTTCTCTGAAAACCACAAGAATAATCAAGAGAAGAAATGGCTACTTTTAAAAAATCCAAGCCACTTACACCTTTCATCAACTAATTCCTTTCAGTAGGAAGACTTCTAAACCACACTATATTGTCTATAATACACTTTCCAAAAAAAATTAAATTTTTATGAAAAAATATGCTTAGATAATGAACATTTAAAATAATAGGTCAGCTCACTGCTGTTCAAAAGCTCTATGTAATTTCAAAGCCATAGTAATAACTAACAGCTTTGACATAGAACCTTTTTCTTTTTCAAAGGAGCCCCAAAAGTTTCACGTTCATATTCTCAGAATCAGAATTCTTATTTTCCCTTTTTGTGATTTATTTCTCAAAAGAAATATATGATAATAGTCATAGCTAACCCTGTTGAGTGCTTACTGTGTTCTAAGCCAAGTCTTTGTATTTGCTCCTCATAATAACATGAATGTACATATCAGAACATTGATGCTCAGAGAGGTTGAGACACCTGACAGAGGACCACAGCTCCAAGGCTGAATCACTAGGATGTAAGCCCACCTCTGCTGAGCTCTGGTGCTGGGGACTTTGACCACTGTGTATATTACTCTTACCTGAGAATGTTTCACCTTAGATCAGGAATAGCATTTGCTTTGTAAAATGGCAATTTTGCAAGTCATTAAGGGGACTTTTTCTTGCCTAGTAAAACCTGCTGGAGAGTCGATGAGCTACATCTCAAAATCTACCCACTGTAATTGTATGGCCAGTGCTCTGTAGATTGTTTGAGAATGTACACAGACTCACTTTGCCAGACCGGATGGCTGAGGACAGGGAAAGTGCTTGGTTCTGCCCACGCCCAGCAGCTCTGAACTGCTCGCTCTCTGGATGGCTTTGCATGTTGAAGTATTTTGGAGAGAAAGCTGACCCATGGGTGTCTGGACCCAAACAGCAGTAGAGGTTCTGTTGTACAGGATGGGTGGATGGTCCAGAGAAGAGAAAACATCAGGGCAGTGTACGGACTGCCATGCAAGAACAGCAGGCTGAACCCACCCAGAACCTGTCCATTGAGAACAGTGCCAGCTCTCAGGACAGACCTCAGTCTGGAAGGTTGGGAATGAACACGCTCTGTGAGCCCGCGTGGTGGGCTGCCCTCATCGTTTAGTCTGATCGAGTGGAGGGCTGCACCCTGCTGAGGCGACCCAAGGAGGCTTTGCTGGGAGCAGAACTGGGCACTGGATGGATTCCAGGAGTTTCCAGGAAGAGCAGAGTCCGCCGCTCTCCTCTTGATGTGGCTCTTCCAGATCTGTTGCTTAGACCGAACTGACCTGTCCTCGGCTGGCGGGTCTGCTCACAGCCGGCCTCACTACCGTCCTCACCGGCCTGCTGGTTCTTAAATCAAGAGGGTGCTGTTTGTACATCTCATGGCCCTTTGGGACATTCAGCTGGGGTTTGATTTTAGTATTTTTTTAAATATCTGATTTAAAGCCCTAGAAGCATCTAATTTCCAGTCTGGTCTGAGTCTGTTTGCTGACAGATTTTTCTCTATTAAATATTGTGAAATATACATATAAAATGTCTATTTAAGCTTAGGGGCTTCAACCCAACTTAAGAAATTAAATACGATCTGGGACAGCCTGTATTTTGTAAAAGCAACTGCAAAAAAAAATCTCTGGTTCCTTTCATACTTACAGAATTTGCTCTTATTTATGAGATACAGTATCTATAGAAGATCAATAAGCCCAGAAGCAGTATCTAGAAGATTTATGGGGAGTTCTACAAGATCTAAGTCCTGTTAGATCTAATTTTTTTTTAAATTACATTTGCCTCGGTGACTTAAGACAAATTACCTTAAATAAATATCCACACAACAGAGATAATCAATGGTGCTTTCAGTTGGGATGATGCCATTTAGGCAAGAGAAAGCTACCCCTTAAAAACGTGAACTTCTGTAAGACTTCTGTCGTCTTCTTTCATTCAAAAGAACACTTGAAAGGGAATAAATGAAGATTTGTAATAAAGTCAAAGGCTAGATTAGGTAGCATATGAATAATGGAAAGTTATCACTTACTTGAACATAACAGTCTGAGGAATGGGGTAGTCCCAGAGACATGGAGGTGGGGTACAGACTGACAATCCCCAGAAGAGGGGGTGGTGGGGGAGAGACAAACCACAGAACTTATATGCATTTACTCATGAACAGTGGACATGGACAACAAACTGGGGACAGGGAGGGGAGGGAGGGGGAGGGAGGAATCAGTGGGGGAAAAAGGAGAAACATCTCTAACAAAAATTAATTAATAAAAATAAAAAATAAAATGTTCTAAAACAAAAAAAGAAAGGAAGTTATCTCTTACTTGAAATGTACAAACTAACCACAGAAATCACCATTTAAATAAAGGAAAGACTGGATTCAGTGCTTCATTCTAGATCTCTAAAGCACTAACCCACGGGCAGAAATACTTGGAAATATTTGGATGTCACTTCTTAATTGCAATGATCCCTTTTTTCTGTATTAGAAAAATCTGTGCTCGTTAGGTTTTGTTTTGGTTCGGGTTGTTTTTTGTATGTTTGTTTTAGTTTTCAAAAGTGTTTCTCGTCTCTGCCTTTGGGTTTTTCTTCTTTAGATAAACTATAATCACTTCTTTTTGTCTGCCCCCAAAGGCTGCCTTTCATTAGCATCACAGCCGATCTCCAAAGCACCCACTCACTTGCCTTAGTAAAGGCTGCACATTTGTTCCTCCCCAGGAGACCTGGAAGACGCAGAACCGGACGACTACTCCTTCTCCTGCTACAGTCAGCTGGAAGTGGATGGTTCCCAGCACTTGCTGAGCTGTGCTTTTGACGACCCGGACATCAACAGCACCCATCTGCAATTTGAAATATGGTGAGAAGTGTTGGCTTTACTGTTTGACTAGAAATTCCTTCTTTTCACGTGCTGTGCAGCAACAGTGGCAAAGGCAGGAGTGTGGGGGCTAATTATCAAACATTACAATCGAATGAATTCCAAAAGCCTTCTGGAACTCTTTGTCCTTCACCCGAAGTCTCATGCAAAGACTCATCCTGCGGTTCATCTTTCAGGTCCGGCTGCTACAGCCAAATGCTAGCATGAATCTAGATCCCACGTCCCTCCTGACTTCATAGCAGAACTGAAATCCTGGCTCATCTAGGACACTCTTAAAACATCTCCTGGCCTGACATGCGACCATGTTATGCTTTCAAGGAGCACTCTGATGCCTGGTTTCGAATCCCAACACCGACTTACCCGCTTTTTAACATGGAGATAGTGATGCAACTTTTCTATGCCAGTTTCTTCCCCAGTTAAATAAGCTCTACTACCTTACAGGGAGGTTGTGATGACTGAGTGATTCAAGGTTTTAGTAATTTAATTAGAAAACACATCCACTATGTAATAAATAATGAAAAAAATGCATTAAGTAAAAAAAAAATTTGTGACTAGAGACCAAACTTCCACCTCCTTGACAAAATTTGGCTTTAGATGATATTCTCAGTATCAATTTTCCAAAACCCCACAGGAATAAATTGGCTCTTGGTTTCATGAAGCCTCAGAGAACAGGCCAAGAAACAGAGAAAACCTCTGTTTTGAAAGTTTGGTAAGAGCTCAGTGGGCTGTATCTTCCCCCTCCCCCACAAATCAGCGCTTGCTGTTAAGGGTTACTATCTCTGGTGGCTTGAGAAAAAATACTCTAACGTGAAATTCTGGCTTGTGGCTATCTCCAAATTCCTATCAGATAACCTAATTTTGGTTAGTTTCCTAGTAAGACAAGTGGGTCAGGACCCACCAGTAGTAAAAGAGGGCTTCTTAAATTCCGCCGGCGCTCAGCCAGCCCCCCCCCCAACTTGCGTGGTCCGGACAAGCCCTGAATTCCATGTGTCACGCTGACTTACAGGCTTCCTGCATCCGCCCTGCAGAGATCCTGCTCAGTCCCTGGGCAGACCTGGTCTTGCACTTGACTTTCACAGCATGCCCGCCTGCCCCTGTCAGTTCGCCTCTATACTCTGCTTTCCAGGAATACACTATGTCGAGGGAACAGGAACCTCCAATATCCAGAATCTACACTGCGGCTAGATTATACGAAAACGGCCAATAACTCGTTCAAACCATGAGCTCATTTTTATGGTCTGACATAGAGGTTTGACTCTGGGTTCCCCAAGCCGCCGTTGGTGGAGTTCAGTGGAGGCTGCGGTTTCTCTCAGGAGTCCAGGGCTGACCTTCCTGTCCACTTTCACTCACACGCATCTGACCACTTCCTGGCTCACTTGAGCAAACGTGCCCGCTCCTTTGACAGTCTTCACACGTCCTCACATACTTCCACCTGCCCGTAGCCTCCACTGGGGTTTTGTAGTTGGAGTCAGATATTTCCACTGGAAAGGAATCGCCGTAAGACATGGTTTCCGTGTGAAACAGTCAGTGTGAACTCCTTGTAGGTTACGGTGCTGTTTTCATAAAGGTCCCCACACCTGCGGGAGGGTTGCTGGGACCCTAGGCTCAGAGCGGACAATGTACGTGTCTCAAATTCAACTCAGAGAGCTGTGTTTGCTGCTTCGGTTGGGTTTCTTTTCCACACTGAAACTAATTTATGGAGCTTTTTTCCCCTGTTGATATAAATTCATAAAGAAGAAACTGAAAATCATTGAAAATTGTGCTTTCCGCTAAAGTCCCTACGCACCAGGTGCTGTTTCCCAGAGGGCTTACCTGGGGCATTGTTCTGGGTGAATTTACCACCTGCCTGATCTGGCCATCAGTCTGCCAGGTGTAGAAACCTAGTTACTTGGTGCTCAATGTGTGGCTCCATCTCTCAGGGATGAATTTGAATGAGCCAAAATCACAGAGTTGGATTACCAGCATACCAGTGGACTACTTCACAGCGACAGATACAACTACAATCGAGACCCAAATATTCATACTGGGCTCAGGGTGGTGACGGGGGGAGGAGGGACAGAGAGGGCCAATAGGTTACATATTAGTATAAATCCACTCTTACTGGGGAGCCTGACGTATTTCATTTACCAGAACACTAACCAGCTGTCAGGAGCCTGGAGTGACGAAGCAGAGGTACCTGGAAACAGGCACTAGGTTGAAATTCAAAACTAGCTCTGTGACCCTCGGGATTCTTTAAGCTCTCTGGTTGGGGTAGAAGCATTAGTGTCTGTAAATGGTACTTAATTCTCTCAGTAGTCTGATTTTCATTTAAAACTGTGATCAAAAGGCTGTTCAGTAAGTATAGAGGCAAACAAAGGAAATTTGTTAACTTTAAGACTGGAGTTACTTGGTTCAGATCTCAAAGTGATTTAAAATAATAATAATAATAAGTTGCCGGCATTTAAAGAGATATCTAGGTATCTCTTTAAATATCGGGTTTCATAATACTGGGCACATACATCCAAAACAAATAGAACAGAATTCTGGCTGTTTCTGTAGACGGGAACTTAAATCTCGATCCTGAAGTTAGGCTCACGTCTCTCACTTATATTGCCTGCATAGGTACTTGAATTTGGACCCAGCTTTTTAGGTGTTTGCACAATTTTTATAGTCAGTTCTCAGAAGGCAATTGTGTTTCCTTTATTTCCACATTCTTGGGGGCACCACAGTCACTCCCCTGCACCGCCTACAGATACCACTTCAAATATGTCATTTTTTGTTTTCCTCAATTACTACCAATGTCACAGGCTACACCCTGCTGATTCTACCTCAGTCTAGACTTCACTAGCAATTTCTGACAGGTATTGTTAGTGGAGTCCTCCCTACAGTAAACTACACTAACTTTCAAAGTTGTTCCATATTTTTGAGATATATTCTGTCTTTCAGGCTCAAATAAGGAATAAAAACTGGAGTTAATTTTTGTTTTTGTTGTCCATGCTCCCATGTAAATATCACCATCACACTCAGCGAGATGAGATACAGATTCAGGAGGAGGGCGGCGGGCTAGAGAACCAGGTGCCATGCTCTCCAGCAGCCTCTCCCTGTTTTCCGAACAAGGGGATTTGTGTGAGTGGTTGAGGGTTCATGTCCCCAGGGAAGGTCCCAGGGTCAGACTTGTTAGCCCAGTGACTGAACTACTCGGATGCCTTTCCTTAAATACCCTAGAATGGTTCTATCCAACAGAAATACAGTGCAATTCACAAATGTGCGAGCCAGACATAAAATTTAAAATTTTCTAGTAGTCACATTTAAGAAAGGAAGAAAATGGGTGAAATGAATGTTAATAATATATTGTATTTAACCTCATATATCCAAACTATGATCAACATGTAATCAATATGAACAAAAAATATCAATGAGATAGTTTACATTCTTTTTTGCATATTAAACCTTCAAAATCTGGTGTGCATTTCATATTAGGAGCACATCTCGACTTGGACCAAGCGTATTTCAAGTGTTCAGTAGGCACATGGGACAGTGGCTATTGTGTCAGACCGTGTAGCCCCAGAACATTCCTAATCCTGGCAATATATAGTAGCAACCAAGTAAATTGTTTTAATTTAATTAAGTCAATTGAAATGAGTTGGATTGAATGGAGGTGAATTACTCATGGGGCACACTAAAGGGCCTGCAGTCACCTGCAGCCAGGCTCTCTGTTCCAGGCCACAGTTTTATCTTAGTCTCCTGAAAGGCTCCCCGCCCACCCCCAGCCCCCACAAAGCAGCTCCTGGAATTCAGAGCCTTTAAAAGGATGCCCAGGCTCCCAAGACAACCATATGACAATCGTCATTTTTCGTGGCTCATGAATCTCCTTCCCCCATGAGCATACCATTTTAGATTCTTCTTAAACCTCCAACAGCACCAGGAACTTGCTACATCTTAAGGATTTGTCGCTGAATGTTCCACGCATTCTTTACTTCCCAGTATATTCTATGCCCAGTGATTGAACTAAAAGCCATTATCCTTCTCATTTCTCCACATCGCATGTTTACCTGAAATTTAGAAGTGGGATTCTGCCCCAATTCGCCCCTTCTAGTCATCAAATCATGGCAATGTTGTCATCTTCAAAACTTTCCATCTGACACTCCTCCCAAAGAGTTTCCCTGGTAACCGTCTAGTTTACCTTAAATACTGGCTTTTTACTTTTACTCCACTCCAAGTGGCAAAACTCATCTAGCCCCAAAAAAGAACACATCCTGAACAAACTCCAACAAACACAAGCACACACACACACACACACACACACACACACACTTAAAACCAGAACAATTGCATACCCCTGAAAGATAACGGTTAGCTCACTAAATTGGGAGTGGGGGACAGTTTTAAGGAATGTCCCACAAAGAGTAAATATATTTAGAGACCACACACCAGCACCCCAAAGGTGAGTGACTGCACCCGACGGTGAGGGGATCTCCGTAGATTCCAGCCTCGGGCTCACCTCACCGCCAGCCAGAGTCCACGGATACTCATGTAAAGGGCTCACTTGAGCACATGCAGACAAAAGTGCACATGCATCCAATTCACCGAAGAAAACCGACACACATTCTAGATTGGAAGTAGTCAAGGATCTTTTTAGAACCTGTTCCTTATGATTTAAAAAAAAAAAAAGTGTCTGAAACTTGTGTGTGTGTGTGTGTGTGTGTGTGTGTGTGTAGCAATAATCACACTTCAGATAAACCTCATCGGCTACGATACTGCCCTGGGCAAAGCACTGATGCTTTTTTTTTAAGCAACTTACACAGAGGTGCTCTTTCCCGCCACAACCCCCACTTCCAGTTGCCCCAGCTAGTTCTTTTTAGGGCTATTCGGCTCAATTGAAAGCGCATGTAGGAAAAACAAACTGGTAATCATGGTATCACAGGTGAGGGAAACTAAATGGAGGGTTGAGAAAGGAGGAGAAATGAACACTTTTACTTTATTCTGCACTGTTTAATTATTTT